CTACACAGGAAAACGCCGGCGTGTCTGATCGAAACACTATCGGCGAAGAGCAACCAACTACGCTCCGCAGATCTCGAAAATGCCCAAGGCAAAACACGAAAATTATACCGTATAACCCGAAAATTATTTCCAACAGCGAACTAAATTCCCAGATGCAATTCCATTCTAAATTTCAGACCAAGTGCTTACTAAATTTTACACTAAACGTACTAATGACTACACTCGACTAACGCTCCCACCACTGACGATGGCACTCACACTGCCCCCGTAGTGCCGCTGTCGACAAACGAATAGACAAATAAGCTGTAGGGTTACCCTCTTGTCCACACTGGCCACACACTGTAAAGAGCCTTTGTTGCCAAGACGGGTTTCCCACCACGCACCCAATGGATACAACTCTAGTTTGCTCTTCACCGGGTCTCTCATTTCATCCAACCATTGGTGCTCCTACTGCTCCCTCGTACTAATTACTCTTATAATAACTACACTCGACTAACGCTCCCACCACAGCCAAAGGCACTCACACTGCCCCCGTAGTGCCGCTGTCGATAGACGAATAGACGAATAAGCTGTAGGGATACCCTCTCATCCACACTGTCCAGAACACTGTAAAGAGCCTTTGCTGCCGAGACAGGTTTCCCACCACGCACCCAATGGATACAACTCTTGTTTCCTCTTCTCATTTCATCCAACCATTGGTGCTCCCTCTGCTCCCTCATGCTAATTACTCTTAAGATAACTACACTCGACTAGCGCTCCCACCACTGCCGAAGGCGCTCACACTGCCCCCGTAGCGCCGCTGTCGATAGACAAATAGACGGATAAGCTGTAGGGATACCCTCTCATCCACACTGTCCAGAACACTGTAAAGAGCCTTTGTTGCCTAGACGGGTTTCCAACCACGCACCCAATGGATACAACTCTAGTTTGCTCTTCACCGGGTCTCTCATTTCATCCAACCATTGGTGCTCCCACTGCTCCCTCATGCTAATTACTCTTAACTACACTCGACTAACGCTCCCACCACTGCCGAAGGCGCTCACAGTGCCCCCGTAGCGCCGCTGTCGATAGACAAATAGACAAATAAGCTGTAGGGATACCCTCTCATCCGCACTGTCCAGAACACTGTAAAGAGCCTTTGTTGCCAAGACGGGTTTCCCACCACGCACCCAATGGATACAACTCTAGTTTGCTCTTCACCGGGCCTCTCGTCTCATCCAACCAAAGAAGTTCCTACTGCTCGTTCATGCTGAATATTCTTACAGTGACTACAACACAAACCAACTTACCGAATCAGCAAATTACCTATAACAAACAAAATTATCAGACAAGCAAGACCGCCGCAGGCTAGAAAGGGGTAAGGCGTGGCCAAATACGTAGCACACGTAATCCCATAAGGTGGAAAAAGCCCCCCTAGGTCAAGTAAGGTGCACTATATGCGAAAAGAAGAAAAACTCATTTCCATGGGCTAGCCCCAAATCTATGAATCTAACCAACGGATGTTATTACTGAGAGCAAAACATATTAGGAACTCGAACGGATGAATCTACCCAGTACCGAAGACCAGGATGAGAACCCCGAAGTTTTCCAATTGAAGAAGCTAGCACTCACGCTCATGGAACTGCCGACGAGCTCCCACCATCGCTGCGCACTCTCTCACTGCCCATAGCAATGCTGCCTCGGTTAGTTCTGCGTAGCAGGCGTTTACCCCAACCCCTCCAAGATGTAGTCGATGTATTTAGCCAAAAACATAGCCATATTCTCTTTGTAGCTTGAACCAGGCGTGATGAATCCCGATGTGCCCTTGATATTGCGGACAGCACTCCCACTGCCAGTACAAGCTCTCCCACTGCTTGCAGAGACGCTACTGTCGTTCTTCACATAGTGGAATCCCCGACTGTCCAGACAGTCAACATCACGTCCGAATCTCGCACCTGCCACCGCAGGCACAAGTAGGCGTCTGGTAATCTCTTTCTGCCAGCGTCATAATAGACCAAGAAGATTGGCCAGTTTCCAGAATTAGCGATTTGTGATTAGGTAAAGTAAACTGATGAGATAGAAATGAAGGTAGTAGAGGAGATCGGGTGGGGCCCATACTCTTGAGTGCAAGGCACTCCCCCTCCAATCAAGGAGAGGTTGGAGTATGAGCACCGAGGGCCTGGCTCCGCCATGCCATCTACCAACCGAGGCGTCCATCTTCCCACAACGCGTGGCCACCGGACTTGATAGACGGGCTTCGCCGCCAAGCGTCGGCCGGCGGAGGAGTGCTAGGGCTTCGCTACATTCGATACCCGAATTAGCGCAGACTTAGCGCTCGCGCGGCGCTACCAGACGCTTGCCGGCCTCTCCCCCCCCCAAAAAAAAAAAAAAAAAAAAAAAAAAACAATTTTGAAGTGTCATTAAAAGGTATTGAAGAGAAGATATTGTGATACGCAACCTCACGCCCCCTCGCGGCTTCCCGTTCGGGGTCGCCAATCAGAGTTCTGGGCGGGGCGTGGCCGAGGATTTTTGGCCGTAAGGGTTGAGTCTCCCGGACAGAACGGGAGGCTCTCGTTTCGTGCCAGAGGTTTTCCCCGGAGTCGAACTGTCAACGCGAAGTTCCGTGGGGGTCGGATCACTTCGGAGCGATAAAATCAGAAGGGTTTCCGCAAAAATGAACGGTCGTCGTGCATCAGGACGGAAAAAGCCATCAAGGGGAGAGGGTCATGGCGGTGAAAGACAGAAACTCCGGCCGTCATGGGTTTGGATAGGTGGTGGGTTCAAAGCCTTCAGGCCTCGTCATCGGCCTCACGAAGTGACTGGCCCGTCGGGTCTTTGCTGGTAGAGGTGGTTGGTTCGAGGCCTTCAAGCCTCGGCGTCGGACTCACAGAGTCCGCGCGGAAGTTTCTGAGAGTGTGAAACGGCGGGAGGGCTCGTCGGCATCTGAATTTGAAATTGCGCGGGCAGCGCCCCCGCATTACTGGAGAGCTCGGGAAAACGTGTCGCTCCCTCGTAGCCCAGGACCAAGCGTCGCCAAGAACACGAGTCCCCCTAGCGACACCAGCGACAATCAAACTGCGGCCGCCACGTGGCGTGAGCGGCCGACCAGGGCAACACACTCAAACCTGTATAAGGCAATATTAGAGTCGGGGAATCAAAGCGATCAATCAGGACAAACCCGTTCCCCCTTATATTACACACCCGAGGCGGGTCTTGCCAACACACTTGCTCCTTCCGTCTCAGCGCGCGCCGTACGTCCGATCGCAGTAGACGCTGTCGTCGTCTGCAGTGGGGAAGGTTGGTAGCGAGATGAGACGATCGGAGGTGCGCGATGAACACGGGCAAGATCCCCCGCTCCCGGTCATCCGAACCAACACCGACTCCATACAATACTCGATGCAACCCGTCTCTCTCAAAGTTGGTGCGTCGGGAGAAGATGGCGAAATCTAAGCTCTCTTCCCCTTGCGGGGGCGTCGACCATGAGCGCGCGGACGCCGGCGGTTGACGTCACTGGTGCAGGGACGAGAAGTTCAAAAGCGATGACTAGCAGTTCAAAAAGAAAGGCGAGAGAGAGAGAGAGTGAGTTACACGAGACTATGCGTGCCCGCAGGAAGGGCCGCGGGAGGGAGGGGAGCAACGGGATCAACACACTCATACTCCTAAGCAGACGGTCCTCCAGTTCTGTTCCCCCGTTCCCGCCCGGATAAGTACATACACACATACATGCATGCAATCAACAACCCTTGACAGGACCTCCCATCCATAGACCTTTGACATCACTCATGCGCACAACAATCTCCCATCACTTGGAGCCTCACACACATGTCATGCATAGACAAAGCAGCCGTGGAGATAAAAGCGAGTCCTTCTTGTACACAAAAATTCTCAATGAACTGCCGCCCCTTTAGGCGCAGCCTTCAAAACTTCCCAAGACCATCGACCACCATAGCCACAAGGCCCTGCTGCGGCCGACGTCCAATCCCCACCACTGCTCAGTCCCTCCGACTTCTTCACCCCGAGACTACCGCGGGTCCGCCCCACGTTGTCACTCCGCCCGTCCTTGGGCTCGTCGAGCCTGTTCGGCGCCGCGGACTTTCGCGCATAGCTCGCGCAACATTGCAGCCGAGATCAAAGAGGAGGAGAGGAGAGGGTTGCGCGAATTTATAGCGCGGGAGGCGGCGGGTTGTCAGCGCGAGGTGCGGGCAGAGCGGGGTGTAGATGAGCAGGACAGAAGAACGGTGGGGAGTTAGAGGGTTCGACCCGCAGGGTTGCACGGTCCTACGTGATTGGGGTGTTCGTTCAAGTGCGTGGTTTCCCGCTCTCCACCTTGATCCGAGCATCCCAACTACGCAGCCAATCACTCCGCGGAGGAGGACGGGGTAAGGATCAAGCTGGGCGTAGAGGAAGACGAAGAGTCCGGCCTGAGGGAAGCGCGCGCAGCAAGAAAGGAAGATGGCGCGAGGAGGCAAAGCAAGAAACGGGGGTTCGAGACACGCAAAGAAATCGGAGCTTAAGCGTGCGCGCGCGAAAATTCAAAAAGTCCCAACCGCACCCGTTTCTTGGTTTTTATACCGCGGCCGCTATTCGCCCGCGCAAGAGTTTATTAATCAAACAAAATGAAAAAGCCGTTTCAAAAGAAAACAAACGCAAAAAGAAAGAAAAACCCCTTTCTGTCCGTGTCCGTACTTCGGGGCTTCCGCGGGATTTTTCCTCAGGGATATGGGAAGCCGCGCGGTACGGGTCTGAGCTTATCACATCTGTGATACGCAGGGGGTTCCGAAAAATAAGCAGTCTCCCGACTGCTGATGTCATCATATCTTGGATGATTGGGCGGCCTCTTCATCGTCAGCTGGCCCGATCATCTTCCTAATCTACGTGGATGCATCTTGCATCTCCCATCGCCTCCTCCCATAGTATACATCCGATCGGGCGGCCCCTTCATCGTCGGCTGGCCCGATCGGTAAGTAGTCCACTTAATTTATTTATTTATTAATTTTTTAATTTTTTTTTTTTTTACACAGCGCGTCTCGACGCGCGATCTTTGGGGTATAGGAGAAGAAGACGATAAAGAGAAGGAGAAGGAGAGAACAGGGGAGAGGTGGACGAGGGTGATCAGAGGAAGTGATCGATGTCGGGATTGAGAGGGGGCGGAATAGGTGGAAGGAAAGCGGTCATTGCCGTGGGAGTCGTCGGCGCATCTTCCTCATGGAAGTGGTGCTGGACGAACGAGGGATAGAGGAAGGCCCCCGACACATGAGACAGGACACGTGGCGCCAGATCCGCCACCGCTCGCACCACCCGCTTGCGCACTGATCGGGGTCCTGGACCCATCATCACCACATGAGTCTCGGTGTAAGGCCACCGCTCCCGCTTCTGCGCCGCGAAGACAAGGATGTGGTACATCACATTTGGATGCTGCCCGGTCTCGTAGATGAGCGTCCCAGCCAGTCGCGCCGCAATACACCCTTGAAAAGGGGGTGTCAGATATGGCTCCCACGCTGGATCAGGGCGCGGCGCCCCGCGATGGCCTCGAGCCTGATGGTGGTGGGCTCCACCATGAAGTCCACCTTTGTCGGATGGACCGTCCGGCTCGGAGGAACTGCTAATGTCAATGATCGGGGCACCCCGGGGTGGCTGGCGAAAGCTGAGAAGTCCCGCGAGGACGGGGGGTCTGGATATGGGATCCGGTAATCCCATTCGGCTTCCTCCCCCGGCGGCGGCTGCTGCTGATGGCCCGGCTCCATCAAGATTGAGATCGGGCACGCGGGGGAAGGGCAGCGATGGCACGACAGTCTCCTTAACGAGCATCGCCGCACTCCCTGGCACGGGGTCAAGATTCCGCGTACGCGCGGGCTGAATCACCTCCTCGCCGCCACCGATTCTGCTGCCTTGCGCTTCTGGCGACGGGTAGCGTCTCTTCCTCCTTGGCGTCTTCTTGGGGGCCTTTGGTGGTGCCGGTCTGGGATACGATGAGGGAGGCCGCAACGGCTTTTCCTCCGGGAAGTCCTCCAACCTCTCCGCGCGCTGCGCAGTGTAATCCGGGATGACGAGCACGTTGTACGTTCTCCGCGGGGCCGTCGCCGTCTGCAATCATGGTTGGATCTCCTCTTCCTCGCTTGCAATCACCTGCGCAATGGAGAGGAGCTCAAGATATATGAGCTCCAACAATCCCAGATCGATCGTCTGGAGCTGGGCGAATGGGTACAGCGCCACCTTCCCCTCCTTCTGCGCAGGCTTGGGCCGTGTGATGACGTAGTAGACGACGAAGTGCTCCCCGATGCAGTGGTCTTCGTGATCCACGAAGAATCGGAACATCCCCAACGCCACGGACTTGTACGGCGCACGGTGCAACTCCCACGCGTCTTCGTCTACGAAGGGCAGCGGCTCCACGTTAGTTAGCTCCACCAGATACTCCGAGAACTCGCGCATAGGATTAGGGCCCTCCGTGAGTTGATAGGGGAGAGTGGTTTAAGAGAAGAAGGGAGGCATTTAGTACGGGGAAAGGGGAAGAGCTTGGATGTTGAGAGGGGCAGCAGGAGGAAGAAGCGCGGGGAGCTGTGGCACCAATGCGATTGGTCCGTCCTCTGCCCTGCGCAGCAGCGCCTCGTGGGCTGTGAATCGTTGTACCCCCCGTCCTTGCACTCTGGCCACTGATCTGGCCTCCTACACTGCGTATTCGCGCACAAAACTCTGTGCCAGCTCCCAACTCTGCGGCGGCAGATCGTCAAGTCTCCGATGAAGGTGGCGATGCTATGCACGAAGTTGGGTGCCACCTGGAGCGCCCGGAACTCGATGAACACTCGGGTCGTCTCCCGCCCCGGCAACTGCGTTACGTCCATGTACACCCCCGCGTACGTCAGCCGATCACAAAGCAACGAGTACGCCGCCACATCAGCAACCCCGGGCGTTGGCACGTTCACCTGCTGAATGTCGTATCGCAACTGCCTCTTCTCATTGAACTGATGCCGCAACAAGCAATCTGCAAGCGACGTCTGGAAATGCTCGAGGGGCTCATGCTCCGGCTGGCGATGGTTCATCCTGCTCCCTAAAACTCTCAGCACCAATGGACGAGGCAGATCGGGAAGAGGAGGAAGACGAAGAAGGAGAGGATGATCTCGCAGGAGCCGGGGTCCGTATATGACCTAGCGATGGCTGGAAGGGCCGGAGCGCGGCAGCGTGCCGTGTCAACGGTCGAGCTTGGGAGTTGTGACGGGGAATCAGCTTCACGAAGTGCTATCCCTGTGCGCCAACTTCCGTTACCTCGTAAATGCCTCTGTAGCGCGCGTGGATCTTGGAGGAGCGTGCGGATTTCCGTACCTGCACCAAGTCCCCAACTTTATAGCGGGGCAGTGGTCCCGCCGTCGCGTGCCGATTCTCGTAGTCACGGATCTTCCGTTGATGCATCCGATCTACGGCCCGCTGTCGACGGCGAGCTAACGGGGGATAGGCCCTAGCCATTAAGTCCATGTAGTGGCGGGCCTTATCTCTGTGCTGGGCCCGTGTTGCTCTAACTTCCGTACCTACCAAGGGGGACAACTGCACCCGAGGGACACTATTGGTTCTCAGTTGAAAGGGGGACACCCCAGTACTACCGTGTGGGGTAGCCCGATAAACGGCCAAGATGTGGTCGACAATGACAGGCCAGGGCCGAGTGTCTCCCGCAGTGATATTCTGTCTAAGGGCGGTCTTAATCAGTCAGTTGGCATTCTCTACCAGGCCGTTGGCTTGAGGCCAATGCCCCGACGAGTAGATAATCTTAACGTCTGCCCTGACTAGGTGACGTTCTACTTCGCCTTGAAATTCCGACCCAGTGTCCATGTGTACCTCTTCTACGTCTAGATGCATGCACAAAAATCGGTTTACGTACCAGGCTACCTCCTGCGAATTCCGGCTGGTCATAGGGTACGCCTCGATCCATTTTGAAAAATGATCGACGGACACTAAAAGAACATTGAGTTCTCCCTGATTGACGGGACCTCTCGGAACGTTGATATCCGTTGTTTCGATGCTAGCCGTCTGAAAGGGGCGCTCTACACGAGTAGGCACCATTGTCCGAGGCATTTGTACCGACGCCTTGTCTGCCGCGCAGGCCGGGCAATTCTGGACGATGTATTTCACATCTTCCCGAATTCCCGACCAGTACCATCCATTCTTTTCGATGGCTTTTTCCGTGTACTTGACCGCGAAATGGACCGCATCCTCTTCATGAGCGGCTCGTGTCCAATCGAACCTAGCGAAAGGGTGCGGAACCGTCAACCACCTAGACCCTCCGCCATCATTGACTTCTCGTTTTTGTAACGTCGGTCCCTGCCAGCGATAGTCCTGCGCCCGCTCCGTGACTCTCCGTCGCTCGGCTTTGGCAAGTTCGGACAGCGAGTCACCTGACAGCCTCTGTAGCAACAGAAGGTCCGTCCAGACTTCTGCCTGGCGGGCACTTGGCGCAAATCCGTTGGCTGTTCTTGCATCCAGATACCGCTTCTCGATAGGGATTTGGTCCGTTCTGCAGTTGGGACAGACCCACGTCTTTTCACTTCGGTACCTAACGCATTGTCCGTGGGATTTGACCGCTTGACACTGACTACACTGCACCCACAAAAGAAAATTGGGCCCTCCCGGATGTGACCCTTCGTGGTCCGGGACCATAGGCAAGGTACAGAAGAAACAGGGACTTAGATGTGTTTTAGGGGACGAGTAGGGATTAGACGAGAGAGCGAGGGAGTTGGATGAGGGCAAAGAGATAGTGCCTGCCATCTCCGGCGAAATCTCCATTCCGGACTCAGGCGTCGTCCTTGCGCAGCACGTGTAGCTCCCCGTAATGCGGTTTCGTAGTCGCGGCTTCTGGCCTCCACGGAATGAGTCGCTCGTTGGCGGGACACTTGTTGGGCGGCAGGAGGCGCGTCAATCCATCGGCGTTGCCATGCTGCCGCGTGGCACGGTGGTGGATGTCGAAGTCGTAGTCCTGCAGACGCACCGCCCACCTTCGCAACGTCCCCGTGTAGTCCGTGTTGTTGCGTAGGGACAGCAGCGGCTGATGATCCGTTACCAGCACGAATTTCTGGTCGTAAAGATACGGTCGGAAATGCTGAATTCCCCACACCACCGCCAAACATTCGCCTTTGCACGCTTCGTAATTAGCCTGCGCCTGGCTCAGCGTCTTGGACGCATACTCAATGACGTGTTCCCTCCCGTCCGCCCCGTGCTGAGTCAGCACTGCCGATATCGCCTGCGGCTGCCAATCGGTGTACAGTTTGAACGGTCTTGTCGGGTCAGGACGCGACAACACAGGAGCAGATGTCAGAGCCTCCTTCAATGCCTGAAACGCCGCTTCGCATTCCGGCGTCCAGATCAGGTGCTCCTCTTTCTTCAGCAGGTTCGTTAGGGGTTTCGCTACACTGGCGAACCCCTTAATGAAGCGTCGATARTAGGATGCCAGCCCTAGAAAAGCCCGAACCTGGGTGAGTGTGACCGGCGCCGGGGCATCTTGAACTGCTGCCACCTTCCTCGGATCCGGTTTTAGTCCATCGACCGTGACGATGTACCCCAAGAATGAGATCTCCGACAAGAAGAACTCGTTTTTCTCCAAGGCCACTTTGAACCCCGCATCTTTTAGTGCATGCAAAACCCACTCAATGTGTTCCACGTGGTACTCGTGTGTTTTTGAAAAGACCAAAATATCATCCATGTACACAATCACGCAGAAATTGATCAGGGGCTGGGTTAGTCGGGTTTTGTTAACGAACTCAACGAAGGCAATATTCATGGCCTGCTGAAACGTTGCAGGGGCGTTACAAATTCCCATGGGACACCGAACCCATTGCCATGTGCCCTCAAATAGGACAAAGCGGTTTTGGGTCGGTCCTCCGGTCGGATTGCGACATGGTGAAAACCGTGTCGGATATCGAACTTGGAAAAGACTCGAGCGACCCCGATAGCATCTAATAAATCGTCGATTCGTGGCATAGCGTTCAATTTTCGGTAGTCGATACATACCCGGACCGAACCATTTCGTTTTGGCACGAGGACCACGGGAAAAGACCACGGTCCCAGCGATGGTTCGACCCACCCCAACCGCTCGAATTCCCGTACCCTTTCCAAATCCAGCTGTCTTTCTTTAAGGGAATATCGGTACGGTCGGCAATGTATCAGGGCGTGATCCCCGGTATCAATCGCGTGCTGTATCAAAGGGGTTAGCCCTATGTCGTGGTCATGAATACTGACAGCCTCAGGATAGGCCCGTATAACCGCGAGGAGGAGGCGTCTGTATTCATCCGGAACACGGGCTAGTAACCGAACTTCTACGGTTCCCTGAGGAAGGGAGACAGTCATAGTAACCGTGGGGACCGCCGCATTGGCATCGGGCGAGGCCCCAAACAAAGAGTTGTCGGTTTTCGCCGAAAGGACAGTCGCAATAAGTTGACTGTCCGCCAGACTCATCGACTCGCTTTCCATATCACTGTCGCTGTCCAGTTCGGGTTCGGCCGAGGGTTCTACCGAAAAGGCATGCGTCAGTTCCCTCAGTCCCCACCGATATTCCCTTGTTCGGGGTTGAAACGACACCCCCTCTTTCAAGAGGATCGCGGCTTTTTCATTCGTGAGTAGGGGTCGTGGAGGTCGAAAAGATAAATCGCACAGCCCCCTCAACTCAGTAAATCTTTCAGGTAGGGGGTCCGTCCTGAGATATAAGGACGCAGGGGGTTCCGAAAGGTCAGCTATTCGGGACACCCTCAGCAGGGGTTCCCCCTGCACCACGGAGGAGAACGTGTGCTACCAATTGGACTCGCTCCGAACTATTTCCAAGGGTTCTCGCCGCCAAGAATGGCGCCACCGATCCTGAACCCGGATCGGATATTGGTCGGGTACATCAGTCTCGTCAGTTTCCGACAAGGTTTCATTTTCGTCTAGTGACAGGCGTCACATCATGTTGATTTGATGGGCTTTCGTGGTGATTCGAGGCGCCGGCTGGGTGCGCATACGCACCGCCAATCTCATTGGTATCGTTTGTGGTTTGGGGTGGGCCGATTTGAGTACCACCTTACAGCTGTCAAAGTGCATTCGCGCTCCGACCGCCGCCTGCCACGGAATGCCTAGCAGAACATCATACGCCTGTACATCCAGCACGATTGTGTCGCACAAACAATGCACCCGAACTCCGACCGTCATGGGTTTGGATAGGTGGTGGGTTCGAAGCCTTCAGGCCTCGTCATCGGCCTCACGAAGTGACCGGACCGTCGGGTCTTTGCTGGTAGAGGTAGTTGGTTAGAGGCCTTCAAGCCTCGGCGTCGGACTCACAGAGTCCGTGCGGAAGTTTCTGAGAGGGTGAAATGGCAGGAGGGCTCGTCGGCATCCGAATTCGAAATTGCATGGGCAGCGCCCCCGCATTACGGGAGAACTCGGGAAAACGTGTCGCTCCCTCGTAGCCCAGGATCAAGCGTCGCCAAGAACACGAGTCCCCCTGGCGACACCAGCGAATATCAAACTGCGACCGCCACGTGGCGTGAGCGGCCGACCAGGGCAACACAGTCAAACCCGTATAAGGCAATATTAGAGTCGGGGAATCAAAGCGATCAATCAGGACAAACCCGTTCCCCCTTATATTACACGCCCGAGGCTGGTCTTGCCAACACACTTGCTCCTTCCGTCTCAGCGCGCGCCGTACGTCCGCATCGCAGTAGACGCTGTCATCGTCTGTAGTGGGGAAGGTTGGTAGCGAGATGAGACGATCGGAGGTGCGCGATGAACATGGGCAATATCCCCCGCTCTTGGTCATCCGAACCAACACCGACTCCGTACAATACTCGATGCAACCCGTCTCTCTCAAAGTTGGTGCGTCGGGAGAAGATGGCGAAATCTAAGCTCTCTTCCCCTTGCGGGGGCGTCGACCGCGAGCGCGCGGACGCCGGCGGTTGACGTCACCGGTGCAGGGACGAGAAGTTCAAAAGCGATGACTAGCAGTTCAAAAAGAAAGGCGAGAGAGAGAGAGAGTGAGTTACACGAGACTGCGCGTGCGCGCAGGAAGGGCCATGGGAGGGAGGGGAGCAACGAGATCAACACCCTCATACTCCTAAGCAGACGGTCCTCCAGTTCTGTTCCCCCGTCCCCGCCCGGATAAGTACATACACACATAGATGCATGCAATCAACAACCCTTGACAGGACCTCCCATCCATAGACCTTTGACATCACTCACGCGCGCAACAAGCTCCCATCACTCGGGGCCTCACACACACGTCATGCATAGACAAAGCAGCCGTAGAGATAAAAGGGAGTCCTTCTTGTACACAAAAATTCTCAATTAACTACCGCCCCTAGGCGCAGCCTTCAAAACTTCCCAAGACCACCGACCACCATAGCCACAAGGCCCTGCTGCGGCCGGCGTCCAACTCCACCACTGCTCAGTCCCTCCGACTGCTTCGCCCCGAGATTACCGCGGGTCCGCCCCACGTCGTCACTCCGCTCGTCCTTGGGCTCGTCGAGCCTGTTCGGCGCCGCGGACTTTTGCGCATAGCTCGCACAGCATTGCAGCCGAGATCAAAGAGGAGGAGAGGAGAGGGTTGCGCGAATTTATAGCGCGGGAGGTGGCGGGTTGTCAGCGCGAGGTGCGGGCAGCGCAGGGTGTAGATGAGCAGGACAGAAGAACGGAGGGGAGTTAGAGGGTTCGACCTGCGGGGTTGCACGGTTCTACGTGATTGGGGTGTTCGTTAAAGTGCGCGGTTTCCCGCTCTCCACCTTGATCCGAGCATCCCAACTACGCAGCCAATCACTCCGCGGAGGAAGACGGGGTAAGGATCAAGCTGGGCGTAGGGGAAGACGAAGAGTCCGGCCTGAGGGAAGCGCGCGCAGCAAGAAAGGAAGATGGCGAGAGGAGGCAAAGAAAGAATCGGGGGTGCGAGACGAGCGAAGAAATCGGAGCTTAAGCGTGCGCACGCAAAAATGTAAAAAGTCCCAACCGCACCCGTTTCTTGGTTTTTATACCGCGGCCGCTATTCGCCCGCATGGGAGTTTATTAATCAAACAAAATGAAAAAGCCGTTTCAAAAGAAAACAAAAGCAAAAAGAAAGAAAACCCCCTTTCTGTCCGCGTCCGTACTTCGGGGCTTCCGCGGGATTTTTCCTCAGGGATACGGGAAGCCGCGCGGTACGGGTCTGAGCTTGCCACAATAGAACTTATAAGCACGTGGTTGGGACCCCATCCGATAAAATTGGCACGATCCGGAGTGGATTAGCATGGCCCCTGCACAAGGATAACACGCGTAAATGCAGAAATGGTCCCGTCTCCCGAATATACTGGGACGACTACCCAGCTTGGTTCGAACCACCATACTTTCGAAAGCCGCGGCCGTAAACAAGCTGGGACGCGCTGGGCCCAACGGGTGTGGCGGGTCCGGTTCCAATTCATTCGAGTGGAAACGTGGCAGCTCTTTTTTTCGCTGCGTCCGTGGTCTGAGCCTGGCATCCTTCCTGGCCGTCTCTGGGGTACCTGATCAGAGTGTTTTTTTTTTTTTAACTAAGCTAGATTCGTCTCTCAATTGTTTTTCGGGGTAACTACGGCCCACTGAGGGTTACAGTTTGTAATTGCATTTCAAACTGTGTTTTAGCAGTTTAGTCAGGGCCCCAGTTTCAAATGCAGTTGAAAATAGGGCTGGTCTTTTTCAGCAGTTCAGTCAGGCACGTGGCCCTTTTTTTTTTTCTTCTTCCTTTTTTTGTACCCCCTTCAGGCGTGGCCAAGACATCTCGGCCGTGGCCCCACCACACAGCCAGATGCTTTTTTTTTTTCTTTTCTAGGGCGTTGAAACGGTATTCACCAGTTCACAGTAGCTGATGCAGATTCCAGGGCTCGATCCCTAGTCCCCACCTTACCTGTGTACAGTATCTGTGTCGACCCCTAGAGTTGAACCCATGACCTGTGTAATTGTAACAGTTGGTAGGTTATCGTAGGGTCCATAGGTGGCAGGGGTTCGATCGGTAGACCTGTCGAGTAGGAGTCTCAGTCAGGTCTAGAAGTCGTAGCTGTAGCTTTCTCGAAGGGTCAAGGTCGTAGCTGCTACAGTCCAGAAAGGTCAAGGTCGTAGCTGCCACAGTATCGAAAGGCCAAGTCTACGGCCTTCCAGAAGGTCCTAGCAGTGACCTTTCGAAGATGCTCACGTTTAGACTGAAGCAAGTGGGCAAGTGGGCAAGTGGGCAAGTGGGCAAGTGGTGAGCCCAGCTGCAGTACGTCGGCCGGTACGACTGCATCAAGTTGGCAGTACAACCGCATGCAGTCAGCAGTACCAGTCCCAGTCAGTCCTAGTCCAGTCAAGCAAGTACCGCATGGGACTGTGTGCACGACGGGCATGGGAAAGGGCCAGACCAGCGAGCCACAGAAGAATAAATCAAAGGGGAGCGTCCAGCCATTCATTCATTCCTGCGTGAGCCGTGCGGAAGCGCTGCCATAGCGACTTGTGCGAGGTGGTCTGCAGTGAGCCCGAGGACGAAGTGGGTGAGAGAGAAGAAGCTTAGCCATAGCGATAGGGTAGCAGCGGCGATAGCCGCCATAGCTGTAGATAGCGTGCAGTGTATGTGTGTGTATGTGTGTACGGAGTAACGCGTGTGGGATATCCAGGGTGATCCTGTGTGTGCGAACAGAGAGTTGAGTGGGCGCTGTGTCGCCATAGCCATTGAAGTGAACTTGTATCTGAACTGTGTTCTCGGCTACCATGTCTCTGAGTTTTGAGTGGGCGCTTGTCGCCAGTTTGCTGCGCACCTGTTTGCATACATGTGGAGTGTGAAAAATAGCGAGTTTGATTGCAGGCGTGGCCGAGACATCTCGACCATTGCCCCGCCACGCGACCAGGGGGGGGAAGGGGGGCGAAAGATAAGAAAGCAAAAAAAAAAACGAACAAAAAAAAAAAAAAAGGGGCCATGTCCCTGACTGAACTGCTAAAA